GAAGTTCCAGAAGGGAACTTCTGGCCTCTTGGCTCTGCCCTCCAACCAGAGGGGCAGAGGGCACTGATGAGGTGAGAGTGCCAGGGCTGATGAGATCTTGCAGGTTGGTGAGCTTGGGGGGGGTGTTGATGGAGAAATCCAAAGGAGTGCAGCTGGATGGGAAAAAGGCTTTAGTTTCCTCACAAGTAAAATGAGGGTAATAACAGCATCCACTGTGATTGTGGATATAAATTGCTTTGCAAACCCTCATATCCCTTATTAAGACAAGTGGGAGACAGGAAGAATTTGTGTCCAGTCCAACTTTTTCCCTTCTTCCTCCTCTTCTGTTGGACTGGGCCCTCCTTCCTCGCCAATTCTGTGGTCATGGCAGCTCTTGAGACACCTTGCCCAAGCCCTTCTCTGGGGCCTGCATTATCCTTCCTAACTCAGTATTAGTTAACTGTTAGTTACTATTAGTAACAAGTATTAGTATCTTGGGCCCCTACTAGCCTGGGAGTTCCAAGGGGTACAAGAGCTTTGTCTCATCTAAGCTTGGAGCCCGGGGCTCTCTCTCTTCCCTGGGTGCATCCTGCCAGCATCCAGAGCCTTACTGTCTCTGCCTGGGTAAGCAGAGATGTGGAGAACAAGGATGCCTCCCGCTTCTGGGCTCTTCCTCTCAACTGTCCCCTGCCATGTTCATTTTCCTTATACAGCCTCAATCTCATCCCCTCCACAAACACCTTTGGTGCCTCTGTTTCCAGAGCCCTTGGAAGTTTTGTGTTCATTATTTCATTTTATCCAACAACCCGTGGAGGTAAGTGTTGTCACTGTTCTCTTATTCCTCACTTACACACAAGGAACCAGGCTTGAGGTGAGGTGATTTGTTACAGCTCACGCAGCTTGGGACAGACCTGGGATTCTAACTCAGGTCTTTCTATTCACTCTTGGCTCTTTCCCATTCCCCTACCTATCAGCCCTACAGAGAGAGAATAAGCTCCTGGTGACCCATGGAGCCCACAATGATTTATCCTCCTGTTCAAGTGCCCCCAGCACATGAAGAGTGTACCATCAGACTGCTTGGCATGGGCTGCCATCTTTTTGTGCCTCTGGCCAGGATCCCAAACTCAAATGGAAACAACTAGGGAGGGGTATCTGTTACCTTTTTATCATAATCATCATCAGTGGCAATAACAAATCTTGGTTGAATGCCTGCTATGTGCAATCCCTTGGCTAGGTGCTAGAGATACAAAATATTGGACACGGTCCTTCCCCAAAACACCTTCACACCTTTGATGTGCTGAAGGCACTTGGACAGGAGGGATAGATCAGTGGGCCCTACAATTCTGAGAAGGCTTCAACTCTGAGATGGCATAGTCTGTGTGCAGGTTCTACCACTATAATCTATGCTCACAAAAATCATAATTGGCATTTCTACAGCACTTTTAAGTTGGCAAGACACTTGACATCTGCCCAGTGAGACAGTAATGATGGGTATCATTATCTCCCTCTTTCTTTTAAGTATGAGGAAAAAGAGGCTCAGAGAGGTTGTGACTAGCCCAGGTCGCACAGCTAGTTAAGTATCTGGGGGCAGTATTTGCATTCAAGTCTTCCTGACTCCAAGTCCAGCACTTTGTCCACTAGGCAAAGTTGGTATTTAACTGCATTTATCTGGGGCAAAAGAAAAAGGATCATTTAAATTCCAAGGACCACCAATCTGGATAATTCAAACCTCAAGGAACATCGAGGGGGAACTTCGTCATTAAGTGTGGCTCATCTACACTGCTTTAGATGACTGGTAGTCATCAACACTGCCCCTCCCCCACTTTACTTCGTGTAGTGTAGACCTGGACTCCATGCCCTAGACATGCCCTGGTGACCAAGCTTCCCAAGGCCCTGGAGGAGGGAGCCATCTGCAACGCATGACAGCAGAAGGTCAATGATGAATGGTCCCTAGTAAGGAAATCAATTGGATGAAAGGACATTGTTTAAGTGAGTCCCAGCATCCTCAAAGGGTCTGCATCCAGTGCGCAGGGATTTTCCCGAGTAACCTGAATCACAAGTCAATTTGTCTTCTCCTGGGCATTCGAGGTCTTTTGCCCTGGAAACATCTTGGTGGGGACAATGAAATGAAAGCCGGGAACCTCTGTTAACACCCCAGGTGGTGTTGCCCATGAGGCATCCTGGGTGTGGAGGGGAAATATTGAAGGAGGGCTCTATTGCTTTTGTTCTAGCTTCCTCTGACATTGCAGCACCCTGGCTCCCCATCTCTTCCCCCAGGACATTTTTATTAATGATAATGAGCTGATATTTCTAAAATCTGCTAAGCAATGCAAGGCATTTTATGAGTATCATCTCATTTGAACCTCAGCTCTGTGAGACCGATGCTATCGTTTCCCCATGCTCAGAAGAAACCCAGGTTCACAGAGGTGACTTTTCCAGGGCTACACAGCCAGTCAATATCCCAAGCACCCCGTGAGGTAGGGACTGCAAATGTTATTGCCGTCTTCTTTATGGAGGAAGA